GGGGACGCTTAAGGAATAAATTCACATTGTTTGTTTCCAGGAATGGCACTGGTCATTTCAGTGAGGGGAAGCAGGAAGGGAAACCAACATGTTTCTGCCTTTTGCATTAAACAAGCGTGCACGGCTTTACACCACGCGCAGTGTCCATGCACGTGCTAAGATTCCAGTCTAACATCGAAAACGCCACTTTACAAAAACGTCTCCCGATTACCTTTCCAGTGTCACATTTTGTCCCTTCATTCACCATTCCGGGATCGGGAACATCAGATCCCAGCTGGAAGTCCACACCCCAACACGTGGTGTGTCCAATGGGGGTCTGAATAGTGGCGGGTTTTATCCCAAACACAGGCAGGGCTCCCACGTTTTCACACTGTAGCTTCCCACACATGGCATTCCTAGGAGGCAGCCATTGAAAGGATGGTTATGGCTCTACTACTCTGAGAAGGCAAGCAATTAGCATGCGCTGGGCATTTTGCCCAAGCTTGCTAGCGGGAATTACAGAGGAAAAGATACGTTCACCAGCAGTATCACCACTAAAGTGAAATGCAGAACAAGACGGAGCTGACTATTTGCAAGCTGTTCCAATCCTCAAGCAACAGCAAACACGCCCCTTTACTATTCCTGTCTCTACGAAGGCACGTGTGCACTTGCTCTGTAGAATAGAAGCAAACACTGACAAAGCTACAGAGCAACTTCCTCTCCTCATAACTCAACAGAGGCTACAGGCAGTTACCAGATAAACTGGTGTGCTGAAAAGCTACAGCAGCTCAAGGACAGCAGAAGGAAGATTCCTTCTTTTTTGAAGTGCCTCTTTTTCCACTTGGCAACAACTGATCCATTCCACCTTACAGGGAAGTTGCTTGAACCCGGACGCTTAGTGAAAGGCCACTATTTGTAACACTAGAAGGAAGCAAAAGGGACATCTCCCTACAAACGTATGCACGTGCGCCCTCTGTCTCCAATGCCGCTGCCCCGGAGGCTACGGCAAGAAGACGACTATCTGCAAGCTAATTTGCTTCCCCTCCACAACGACACCTCCAGTATGAAGGTAGACTGTGGGGCAGGATGCGTCTGATGCGCCGATTACAAAGCCCTGTTATGCAGATAGGTCTGAAGAGCCGACTAATTCCACGGCACCTGAATGTAGGGCTTTAGACCGGTGCTGCGGAGCATCCCCTGCTGCGTTAAACCCAACTCACCCGGTGGAACACTTTCTGTAGTCATTGCCATGGTAGCCGCAGTTGCCAAACCTGTCACCTTTGGAATTTACTTCAGCAAAACAAATGTCAGGGGCAGCCTTTGCTCCTGGAAAACCAGACCACCAGCACACAGGCATTAGGGGAGTGAGGTCCAGTAACAGAGAGAGAGAGAAAAAAATATATATAGATATATATCACTCTCCCCGCCCTTCTCGCCAGCCCCTGGATCACATCGAGTCACACCACCATCTTCCTGCCACGCGAATGCTTCGAGGGATCAAGAGAGATAAAGATCGGGTCACGAAAAAAATCTCACATTTCAGGCTAACAGAGGATATGGAGAACAGAGTTACTTAGCCACAGTTAATTATATCGCTAAGTAAATCTTCACAACTACCTATGTAGCCCTGAAAAGGCACATTTATCATGGCAAGGAAATTATTAGTACTCGAGACATGAATGTGTCCGTAAATGTAATGAAAATTTATGCGGGCAAAGAAAACTCTCATAAATACTACAGACAGTTTCCAATACGTGGCCAATTTTCAGGCGTGTCTTTTTTTTTTAATTTCCCTATTAAAAACATACCTAAAACCTGTAATGGTTGACTAAGCTTGCTCATTCCCCTCTATTCATTTGCCTTGGAAGGGTTTACTCTCATCACCATCCTTACTTGGGCCAAAGATAGCCTGGCACTGGGCGTTGTAGTACTGGCACACCCCGTTGTAACAATAGGCTTCCTCGTTGTGGCACGGGTATCCATTCTGCACCGTAAAGTCCTGCTGGCAGAACTGGGAGGTCCCATTGCAGTACTCAGGGAGGTCGCATTCGTTGTTACCTGCCCGGCACACGGTGCCTCCTGGAAGGAACTACAAAGGAGTGTGCAGGAGAAGGGGAAGGGAACAGCAAGTCAGTCACGAGATGCACGGTGTGCAGCACCGTGCCCTCTATGCGCCGAGCCCCACCGACCGACCTCGCACCCTGCTACAGTTGCCGGCTGGTGCCAAACACACACCTGCATACATGCCGCGTCCCCGCCCAGCACGCAACAGCTCCCTCCTGGACTCCCCAGCCCGGGCCAGCACTTCCCCCGTCACGGACTTGCCCAAGGGTATTTAAAGTGAAAGTTGCGACCGCCTCCTCCCGCCTCTTACCCGACAGTTTTTACAGCAGTCGCCGTAGGCACATTCAGCACCCGCTCGGAGTTTACAAGTCCCTGCTTCACAGCAAGGGTCCCTCTCACATTCCTGCAGAGACAAGAGTAATTCACCGAATCGTATGGACTTACGTTCCCCCTCCGAGGCAGAGAGGCACCCAGGAGCCGTCACGCAGCACACGGATGACCAACCTTTGCGGAACCGCAGTCACACTCCTCCCCAGTATCCACCAGCTTGTTGCCACAAAACGGGACGCTGTAGGTTTCATCCGGCCTGGGAACGTTGAGCAGGCAGCTGCCACCTTTGTTGAGAGTTAACTTCTCAAAGTCTTCAGCACTGCAGCTGCTGAAGTTTCTGGATCCTCTGCAACAGAGAGTATTTGGCAGCCCATTCGCTGTGCCTGCCACGAGTTCTTCACAACCCACAGTCTTGCTTAAGGCAGCATTTGTATAGCAAAAGTGAGAGCCAAGTGCCAGAGAAAGACAAGCATTAAGCTTCTAAAAGGGACCCAGGTTCCATCTCTGACCTCTGAAAGGCAAAGGCCCTTACTCTAATTAAACACACTGAGCAGGTATTGTTATAGCACTGTTACTGCAACCGTCTAAAATGCTGCAAGCCGCCCCAGTCCAGAAATCCAGGCACCAGTGAACAGATGTTACCTACACCAGTGGTTTTCAACCTGTTTTCATTTGCAGACCCCTAAACATGTTTGAACGGAGAAGCTGAGCCCAGCAGACATTTCAAACAGAAGTGAATTGCAAGTGTGGGTATAATCCTCTTTTTGACTGACCAGTCATCTTTCACGGGCCCCTTAAGCATAGCATGCGGACCCCCCGGGGTCCGCAGACCACAGGTCGAAAAGCACCGATAGACAAACGACCGCGTGCCTGGCTCCTCCAAACTACGACATTTAATGTTCAGTTCCCCAAACTGTAGCACACAGGGGACATTTGCTTTCCTCACTGACTGCTACCTACAGTTACAATACGGTTAGAAGACTTCACGATGAACAGCACCATATAAATGCTGAGGACAAAGACGGAAGCTGGACCCTTACGAAAGTCTTCTCCACCTCGGCATCAAGGAAAGCCACTTACGATGCTCCAGAATTCATAATACAGCTGTTGGTGCCACAGTAGCACTCTCTTTCATCATCGTGGTTCATTCCCAGGTTATGGCCAAGCTCGTGTGCCACAATGGACGCAAACATCTCTACGCTCATTTGTCCAAACTGCATGTAACCACAACAGAGGAAGAATTAGCAGAAGGTCTGTCCAGGACATCAACAGCATTCGCACGCTGGGAGGAACCGTATGACCTTAAGCATCGCATTAACGTGAGCTTCCTAGCAAAGGGGCCACAACATTTTCTGCCTGCCAGCTGCTGAAGGGTACTTTGCTTAACTTCCAGAGGCATCCATCAGCTCCTCCATATGGCCTCACTTCTGCATGGAGGCCTACAAAGGGCACATTAGGTTTTAAAACTGAGAACGATATCAACAATCCCCTACCACATTAATCCCTCCGGCGTGGTTCTTGGAGCACACTGTTCCCACGTAGGCCATTCCTGCTGTTCCGCCAAACCCCTTCTTCCTGGTGTACATTGAAAGAAAAAATCAACTTAGCTGGGCAGAGGCAACACAAACAAAACGAGCAGCTCTGCAACCCATGCCACTTCTGGGTTCCCAGGCTTAGCGCGGAGGAAATGCAACATTAGGCGCC